TCGATTTCTTCTCCCCCAAACTCTCCCCATGCCTCTGTACATTTTCTCTCCATCCCCAAATCATCCCCAACCCATCGAGGGCTCCAATGCCAGCAGAGAAGGCCTCCAATCCAGCAGAGAGGGCTAATCTCATGATATAAGGTGTTTGCCATGCTGTCCTCCAGCATTCTGTGAACTCAGTTTTATTTGCAGCGGGAACTGATCCTCCCTCCACCATTTTCGAACGTAATTAATGAATTTAAGGCTGTTTGTTGCCCGGGTTCCTGGAAACACACGAGAATCGCAGAAGGGATCCTGACATATAATGTGTAAGTACATAAAAATCATGTAAAACAAAACCCATCGATTAATTTCTGTTCGTCAGTTACATTTGATCAGGGCAAAAAACAGCCCATATATAAAGATAAATATAAACTTTGTATCTTCTTCTGCTTGGTTATTCTCTTCCGGAATGAAAATAAATGTCTTGTCCCTTAAAATGAATCTGCCCACAAGAGTTAAAAAAATGGATTTCGCTGCAAATTCTCATTCTACCATTGATCAGCGCTTTGACAACTCCGAGAATGTTCTCCATTTCAAAAGTATTCGAATCTAGGGTTGGGATGATTTGGGGATGGAGAGAAAATGTACAGAGGCATGGGGAGAGAGTTTGGGGGAGAAGAAATCGATTTGGAAAAGAAATAAGATTTAAATTAATAGCCATGTATTCAATTTTTAACGGTGTTAGCTGCCACGTAATATTTTCGTTTGCCACGTAGAGAGTTGGATGGATGGAAGTTAAACGGGTGATGGATGGGTAATTTTTTCCAAAAGTGAGTGAGCATTCGGTAACCATTTATTTCTGGGTGAACAAGTAGTAACCGAAGCCAAATGTAGGTGATTGATGATTTAATTAACTCCCCTAATAATAGAAATGTTGCACTCATTGCTTTTGGAAATGACAGAGAAATTGTAATAGTACATTATGCAATAACATTAACATATCCAAACCATACAAAAAATATTCCATACAACAGTGGAATCAATATATACATATTTCCCCCACAAAAGCCAAAGATTGGAAGATTATAGGTACAACAGGAGTGAGAGATTAAGGACCAAAATGCTCTATCTTTAAAAGTTGGGGTCAAAACATGCAAAACGGTCAATAATTTGGCTACCTCTGCTGCTATTTTCTCGAAATTTCGAGTAATGAACTTTTGCTGCTTGAAGCCTTGAACCATCTGCAATGTTACTGAAATCCCAAGTTAGCAAGGAATTTCTGCAAAGTTCTTCGACCCCATCGTAAATCACTTTCCAAGACACTATCTTGCAGTTCCTCTTTACTTGGATTGTCTTCTTCTTCTTGACTTTGCTGCAGCTTCTCTACACGTTCATAGACGTATTGTTCTTCTTTCTTATCGATCATTGTATCACTAGTTCCCGTAGGATGGTACGAGGAAGATGCGAATTCTTCCTTCGACTGGATAATAATAGTTTTCTCTACACATTCATCAACATACAGTTCGTTCTCATTGATCATTGTCTCACTAGTTCCTGTAGGATGCAATGAGGCAGATGCATATTTTTCCTTCAAGATAATAGTTTACAGAAAATGAGAATTGCAAAATAAAAATAAAACATTACATGCAAAAACTTCGGACAATAAATGATTACATACAGAGTATATATAAAATAGATCTCAACTGACAATCATCAATTTATGTCTATAACATTTCGATTATGCATGAAATGTAGAGGTTGATATTGCAGCGAGATATTATGAAAGCAGAACTTTATTGATATACTCGATGTACCAGACAATATTAGTCGTTCTTCAAAATATACAAGTGAGTTTCTCGACAATATTAGAAAGAGTTTCTATAAATGATATGGGCGTCATCTGAAGCCAGCTCAATAACAGATACAGGAAGAAGAGCATTTATTCGTTAAATTTACTCGTTGCTCACAGTTATCCATTTCTTTTCTTTTTTCATTTGAGGTGGTACAAGAAAATGTCATATTCTAAGGCGAAACAATTAAAAGTGATAAAGAAAAAAACATTTAAGTTGTTACCTCTTGTGAATCAGACAACTTGGCTTTAACAGATTCAACTAAAATATTAGCAGCTTTCGTTTTCTCCACTTCCTTTAGCGATTCCTCTTGAGTCTCTTCCATTGGCATCGTAATCAAACCCGGAACCAGAACAGGAACCACCCCTTCATCGGGAAGTAGGCTTGCTTCATCCCTCGAGATCAACAAGTCACTTCCATTGATTGCTGAGCCATCATTTTCAAGAACCCCGTCTTCGTTTTCTGCACAAGTCACACTCATAGGACCAGAAACTTCATCACGTGTATTCATATCTGGTTCTCCCATTTCCCCAGTAATATTTTCTGCAACCATTTCTGCAGCCTTATCGGGCAACGGGTTCTCCATGAGCCTAAAATAGCCATTCGTACTCGTACTTTCCTTGTTTACATCAGTCTCATCATCTTGTACTGGTTCAGTTAAATTCTCAGCAACCAACATTAATTCTGAATCAATCATAGGTTCTTCACTTGGATAAGTTACGAGTTCCTCCTGCTCCATAATCATTTGGAGTTGGGGATTGTCCCAATCTTCCAAAACAGTTATCGTCTTTTCCGTTTCCCATGTTTGAAGAACTCGATCGGGGCCTGGCTGCCACAAGATTTCTTCAGTAACTCCTTTCAGTATGAACTTATACTTGATCACCTTGCCACTAGGAAGATCCTATTAATTTCATAAAGAAACTGCAATTATCAGTACGATATTTTACAACAATGAGAATAATTATTTTCATTGTAAGATCCTTACCAGCTTGACCGACCATACATGTCCATCTGACCAATTCAATGGAATAGCATCTGCTGGATCCCACAAACCGAAAACTGGATCATCTCCTACAATTAGGAATTGCTGGCCAAATGCACATTCCTTCCGTAATTTGAATCTGACATTGACAGTTTTGGGCTCGTCTGCAGAGCAAAGAAAAATTAAACTTTGACAACTGAATGGAAGCTGTAAAATATATAAAACCATTCAGTTGAAAAGTACCTGCATCATTTATCTGTGTTTCTTCACTTGCAACTAGTGTCTGCAACCAAAAGAACATGTACACAATTGAAATTCAACCAACTAAATATAATTACTAAATCATTCACTGTAATTCCTCATTCCTTCGTCCATTCTTAAATACGTGTCATCTATGTTGCTTTAAAAGTTTTGCCTTTAAGTGGAAGCACCCTACTAAACATTTTCTGCATCCTCAGTTGAAGTTTCAAATAATTTGCAGCATGAACTAGATTTTGTCTTAGTCCGATACAATAATATGAAATGAAACAGTTATAAGCTAAATATGTGGAATGGTTTTAGTAAGGTTCTAGATTTATAGTTTCCATCGGGATAAAGCGCGTATTCCGGTCTTTGTGCGAAATAACTGAGCAAGATAAAAGACACAAGATTCTTGTAATTCGACAATAGGCCAACAAGAAAACTACAAGTAAAGTATCCATTAATAATGATGGCATATACAAAAGTATCTCGCAACAGAGGCCAGGACACTGAGAATATTAACTGTTAGTCCAATAGTTGATTCGAAAATTTGGAAAAGTATTTGTTTCCATCTGGTTCTCTCCCTTAGGAAGCTTTCTTTCATTTTTTTTTTTTATTATTTTTTTTTTTTCACGATTAGGCTTTCATAGTTCATCTCTTCCCTTTCTTGTTCATTTTCGAAGCATGATTAGAACACCATACAACGAGCAAATGAAATAACATTTTAATGTGACATGATAGATACTGAAATACAAGTGATTAACGAAAAGGAAAAATAAGAGCGAGCCCATAATTCTGTCGAGAAAGATCAGCAGAATTTCTGAATACACAAGAACCTCCTTCCCTCTATCAGTCCATTGCTTACTGGTATAACCAGTAGAATTAAATTTTTTTTTTTTTTAATCCATTAATAGTTATGACAATATCGGCCATAAATCAGAAAACTCCATTCACAAGATCAAATATGACCAGAGAAATCTTGAATACTAGAGATAATAAATACAAAAAAGGGTATGTACGGTGAATCCTGCTGGAAAAAACAGTATAATCAACAAGATTTAACTTCCTTTTTATGCCTTAAGACTCAGTCACTGTCTAATCTACCTTACGTATAAAAAATGAGAGGAAAAAAAAATCCTAAAATACACAATACTAACCTTATTGTCTGATTCCGACAGAGCAGAAGCTGCAAAAATGGGCTGAAATTTTTTTTGCTGAAGAGAGATTGAGAATGAGAGCCCAACAAACACGCGCTTTTGAGGAAAATTCCCTGGGCCAAAAACCCACTTTTCTTTATCTCTGTAATTACACCGACAAACAAGAACCTTCATACACGATTCTGTTATGGTTTCCATAGCTCGACAGATACAGCAAAATGATTAACCCAGAAATTAAACCTAGAATCAAATCAAACACTGTGTGTATGTGTGTGTCTTTTTCGTATGATTAAAATGAGACTGGTGGCTCTGAGTGAATGGAAGAATGTGGAAAAAAATTTATGGGGTCCACGGGAGAAGCATGAATAGGGTACCAGGTGGCTCTGACGAATCTAAAGTTTTTTTTTTTTATATGACTTGAATCTAAAGTTAAATGAGCTTTTCAATGCAATAAAAAAACAAGGATCAGATTGGAAACTGTAAAGTGGTGTTACTGCTCACAGTCCCACCGCAAATTACGGTAAAATATTTAAGAATGACGAGAGACCAATAGTAATATAATAACTAGGGTTTATCCCCTTGAACCGAAAAGGGGGTATCGAATTTTGTTACCCCCCTCACAAAAAACGTGGCCCCCACGTGTATTAAAAAAGTCGACTCGTGGTCCCCACATTTTGGTGTGAGTGGGGTGTAAAAGATTAGGTAAAATATGATGTACATGTAGCATAACCCTAAAAACTAAAGTCCCGTAAAAATTAAAATCGAATTTTTAGTACATTTTGATAAATATTAATGAAATATATGGTTAAAAAGTTGTAGATCTCATAAAATGTGTGGTTAAAATTAATTGTTCACTTTGATTTGATATTTTAGTTGAATTTTAATCGAAATCAAATAAGAGCTAAAATTCTATATTGTTCGATGTGCTACAATATTTCTTCTTATGAAAATTTAACCATGCAAAAACACACACAAAAATAACAATGTGACAAGCCATTCTCAAGACATTTTTGACATTTCCACTTCATTAGACTTCCTTCATAGTTAGGGGCAGAGAGAGGGAGATGGACTAAAAAAAATGTGCTGAACTAGTATGTATAAAAAAATTTCATATAATTATTTAAAAAAAATTACAAGGTAAGAAAATTTATCTGAGCCCCTAAATCCAACACTGTTCATAACTCATTTGCTTGCTAAGAATAAGTATGGTGAAATTCGTTGGATTGTTACATCAAAATATTTGTAGCGACAACATCCTCAATGACAATAAAACCCTTTATTCAAATATAATAAGTTGTCCCAATATGGTCCGATAATTAATTGAGTCCAGTTAGATCAACTTGTTCCTCTACAAAATAACTCGATGTTAGCCAACAACAAATAAAATATCCACCATGGAAAAAATTTACACGATAGCTGGAACTCAACGTGACATCAGATATGATAAAGTTCGTTGCGACTATACTTAAAAATCATAGTCCTATATTTCAAGTACCATCGATAAAATTAGAAAAAAGATTTATAACATTAAACCAAAGTGAAAGTACTCGAGAAGTAAGGCAAAATAAAGCCTCAATGTCTCAAAATTCAGAAGGAAAGTAAGGAATAAAATCTTAACTTATTGTTCGGAAATCCTAATGTTAGCGGTGTCCCCTCACATCGTTAAATCAAATTCTTATATCTTCAAATAATTGTTTGTCCCCTCACATCGTTAAATCAAATTCTTATATCTTCAAATAATTGTTTACAAATAAAAAGCATTTAACACCCGTTTAATTGGCAACACTAGTTACTTAAATCTAAACAATTGAAGGAATTCATAGGAGACTTCTGAAAAAGCTCGCTAAAAACTTGCCATTCCAGGAATTAAGCCTCCAGTGAAAATACAAATTTCTACAGCATGTACACTAAAGTAAACAAAATGTTTTTAGTCCTGCAAATCAAGTCTTCCTTTACGTGCAATTTATTCACTACAAAGTCAATGAGCGTCCAATCAATCCCTCGGTTAAGTGAAAGTCCAATATTCATACCCTTTCTTCTGTGTTGTCAACTTCTCTTTCATGTCGGCTGTCTTCCTCCGCTGCAAAAGGCAAGGTGGATCCATAACCTCCATAGTCCATAATATGTTCGAAGGTATGGCTTCATGTTGTAGGAGTCACTTGGTTATTTCCATCATCTGTTCTTCATTCTATGGACTACAGCAACAACAGATCTTCGTAGAACGATTCTAATCTTGAAATTTAATGACAAAAGACAATCCATTTATAATCTTTCACCAGGGCGAGTTAGGATGATTTTGCACAAGATGATTCACCACATTGGAGGAAGTAGTACTAGGTCCACACTCAGCTTTCTGTAAAGCATTTTGAACAAAACCATATATTATGTTCATTTCAGAACTCAACAATAGCAAAAGCACAAGGTGGGAATACTAGAGACTTGAGTTTTTCAATGATGAAGAACTATCTGCATAATATTAACAAGGCAATGTAATAGAAACCACAAATGGTTGTCCACTGACTAATCAAGAAGTGCAGTTCACAATAAAAACAAAGGGAATAGACTAAGAGCTCACATAATCTCACTCATTAGTTACTAGATATGCAAAGGACAACATTGTATCAACGAAAGTTTGACTAGACCTAGTTATCACCAAATATTATAGGCCAGTATAAAAGTTATGATTCAATAAAACCAAAATAGAAACGTTTGAAGGGAAGCTGCACAGGAATTCTTGGATAGTGGTTGGGAACTAGGGGCTGATCCACCAAATTCATACCTCTAAAACAGGAATAATGAAAGCATAGATGAGATAGCAGCAGAGAACACGAAACAACTCACTCCATATTTCCCTGTTTCCGCTTTAGAATCTGGTGATAGCAAATTCCAAGAAAGGAGTGGTTTATCCCCAGATAATCACTACTCATCTTGAAATATTCCCACACAACGCTTATCCGAGCATCATAGTGTGTTTCAAACAAATAAATCAAATCAACCATGGGGGACATTAACAAAATTCACACCTCTGTAGGATTTTGATTCGGAAATCCATTATTCTCTGGCCCTTCATCTGACACGGGATTGACGTCCCAGAGAAACCCATTTTCTCTCTGTACAGCAAGTCTATCAAAATCATTATTCTCGGCTCTAGAATGAAGTGAAATATAAGATAAGTACTTGTCTGCAACATCACAAGTGAAAAGAAAAAAATAGTGTCAATACCTAAGCAAATGCGCGAAGCAACTAATAAAGTAATAACTAAGAGTAAGATCATCATCTTCAGTAAATGCCTTGAGTATCAGAGCTAGTAAAAATGCTAATAATGATGAAGTCTAAAAGACTGGAGAAAAAGATATGCATCAATATGAAAAGAGCTTGTGCATGTGTACTGCGTAGTGGGCCATGCCCTAGGAAAGCTCTTGCAAAAATTGTTGGAAAAACAAAAAAGAGATCTTATAGCTGAAAGGAAATCAGCATAATAGCACTGGGTCACCCCTCGAAATGTACAATATTTTAAGAAGTGGAATCAATAAAATCCAGTTTACATTTCGGTACGATGGTCCAGAATCTCCAGATTATTGACACATTTACACAGTTTTGCCTTTAGTCACGAAAATTGAAATGTTCACCCGGATCATAATGCACATACATGTATAACTGCCACTGGTAAAGAGAAGCATGTGGACTCTTCATTACAACAATGTAGGAGAGGATAACCTAAAAGTGCTTTACCAGCTAAGCCACGAAGGGCATTCTCAGCAGCCTGTTGCTGGGCATCCTTCCTTGTCCTGCCCATCCCAACACCGATTTTTTCACCAGTAAAGAAAACCTACACATTGATTCAACACACTGAGCCTCCATCTAATAAATTTAGGTTAACTCTTCACAAAACTTCGGACAATATCAGATAGTGAGAGATCACCGAGCATTGCAGGGTGCTGAGCAGCGTTACAATCATCAACAGATAAAGAAATTCCAGACTAACCATTTGGGCTATTTAAATCTAAAAGGACAAAGAATGATCAATTTAACATTGACTGGCAAGACATAAATCAATAAAAAAGAGCATATTTGGTCTCAACAGTTAATTATTGCCACAATCATCTGTAGTCCCACAGCATTTAACATTGAAGAATTGCATAGCAATGTAATTCCAAGTGAGACTACACTAGCCCAAGTTGAGTGTCCAATGTAAGTGAGAAACTTTCAGGGAGTCTTTCATATGTTTAGAGGTGCTCGCAACTGGCTATCAAATATAAGGCTTACTGGAAAATTAGCCCAAGTGGCAACTTGTTAAGCCTCTCACACCAACAGGCAAGTTGGGCTTCTAGTGTTACTGATGACATATGTCCCACAGACACAGGATTCTATGTAATGTCATCAAAACAGGTAGGCTCAACATATACCTGGTGAGAAAAACACATCGATGAGACGATATATGCTGTGCAAGAAAGATGAGGGTGCACGAATTTAAAGCGGGAGTAACAATAAGAAACACCCCACCCAATATCTCACAGATGCGCACACACAAAAAAATGAAAAAAAAAACGAAAAAAAATGTCTTACAACGGAAAGAAATTCAAAAAGGCGCATTTATGAGGAGGTATCCTTATAACCAAGGGTAGCAATTTGGGCAAAGTGGAAAATGGAAACGGTCCTTTGTGGTTGTTAAATCTCAATGTGCTCCTTGGACATGGGCTTGATCTATCATCTCAGATAAACCAAGATATAATCGTGTTTTTACACGTCTTCTCTGCAGCCAAACTTAAATGTTAAACTTCCTGAAGGCTGCTGAACATGAAGTCCCTCCAATCCCGGCATACAGAAGTAGTTTCCATTTAAGCCTTCTTCTCACATTGATCGGAGTGATTGGAAAACTAACAAGAGTAGTCATAGGAATGCCTTCTAGCGGTAATTTTACAATAATGATTTTTGATATTTTATCAAGTCAAATCACTTATTTAAGTCTTTGAGAGCTTGGAATAATTATTAGATTTTCCAGGTAACACCTCAAAATAGTAATTCCTCCACAAGAATTACAAGGTTCTCAAATCAGGCAACAGTTGCAAAGAGGGTCCAGACATTACATGACAAAGAAATTTCCATTAGGAAATCTCAATCTCAACCTGCAAAACTCTAGTAATATCACAAGAATCTTGATCTCAGTTAAGCATGTCTACAATGTTAGACAGACACAGGAGACACGGAAGCACCGACCCGTGATTTTTCAAAAATGTAGGACACAGACATATTAGGGACATTAATTTAAATTCTTTAGAATTGTAGAATTATATGTACTACATTTATGTTCATACTTTTTATCTCTTAAACATTAACTTTTTGAATTTTTTCGTTGTTAGACAAACACAAAGACACAAAAGCACTGACACGTGATTTTTTTAAAAATGCAGGAAACAAACACATCGAGGACACATTAATTTAAATTCTTTAAAATTGTAGAATTTTATGTACTAATTTATGTTTATACTTTATTATCCCTTAAACATCAACTTTTTTCTTAGTTTTGATTTTTTTCGAGAAATCTCCTCAACCGAATGAGTTTCTATTAGTCATATTGATATGACTTTAAGTTAAAACTATATATTACACAGTCAGGGAAGGAAAAATACATATACTACATGTCGAGTGTTCGAGAAATGTCATGTGTCGGATAAGGACACGTTGCATCAGTAGGTGTGTCCATGCATCATAGCATTTGTACATTAGTTATCACAAGGTACAGGTATATCCATTATCTCATGGAATATTTCAAGTATTAACCAATATATAGATGCCAAACAAGGGAACCCTCACCAGATCTGAATATACCATGTACATGTGCATATTGATGAAGAAACAACAACTATATTTTAACCGCAAACAAGAGAACACCATAAGAAACTCCGCTGCTTAAGCTCTCATTTGCAGTATCTTAACCATTTTGAACTGAGAAAATCCAATATGTACAATTTAATATACTAACCTCTATTGAGAACTGTAAATCGTCACTGGTGCTTACCACCGGCTTAAATTCAACCTGAGCAAGAAAACGCATTATGATGACACCCAGCAATGAATATATGTTACTCGACATTGTTTCTTGCTAGAAACGTGAATTTACCTTTGATCTGCATCTTCTTCCTATCTCTTGGAGCACACCAATAGACAATGAAGGCAACACATTCATTTTTTCACTTTCAGGTTTAAGCTCTCTATTATTGGAGGAGAATTGGTTTTGAGAAACACCAAACTCTACCAAGAGAAAACAATACCATATTAGGAGAATGTCAATGGCAATTTCTTCAGGTTGCAAGTCACATAATTACAAAAAAAAAAAACAGATTGAGGAGAAAAACACCAAATCCAAGGTTCAATTGTTATTAGCGATAGCGCCACAAAAATATTACCTAATGCACCGAAATGATCCTGAAATTCAGGGAAAAGGAACTTTAAACGGCTTTTCTAATATGAAAACGCAGTCATCATGAGTTGCAGATAGCAACATTGGCATGTTGGATATAAATTGTCAAATAAAATTGACTGCTTTATATGTTATTCAACTTGATGTGGTACATCCACCTCTATACAATGTCTTAGTACCACATTTATTGATAGAAATGGATGCATAGGTTATCCCTTTTTTTACTTTTATTTTCTTGTGTATTCTTTTAGAGGGGAATGATAATTCAACAGGTACGTTTATAACTGGCTAAACCTCATGCAACTAACAGCCGAAATTATTAAATAAACTGTGGAGGACAACAGTCCAAAACAACAAAGAATAAAATCATTTTTGAAAAGGACAAAAGAATATAAAGGACAATAAAGTTCAACAACTGTAGCCATAGGCTCACATAAACATAAAAATGTATATCAGAGTGGGTAAATTCATTATATTTAAAGAGAGGGATATGACAACCATAAAGCAAAACCCAATTAGTTAGAAGATAAAAATTGAAAATCAAGTATGATGCACGAAACAAAACAATAATTAGTTCAATTTGATTCAACAGCCCAATAATTGGCCGATCACGTAAGCCTCCAAACTAAGGGTCAATCCATAGGTCCACTATTAGCAAAAGTTTCGTGCGCATTATATTTGAACAATCTTTTCTTGTTCCTTCTCATACTGTGTACAATTGTCAGCGATTAGTCACAGGACAATAGTGACAAAGGAAGGAAAAATGCACTTTTATGACATGACCTGCATTCATTAACATCCATAGAGGCAATAGAATACAATTGAACTTCATACACAATAGCATGACTGTAATGCCATCTCCAAATGCCAGACACAAAGCATTCAATTCACAGTTACTTTTTCTATGTAGAGATGGTGGATAATCATTATAGCAATTTTTCCTTCAATTGGTAGTATTATAAATTTAACGAAACAAGTCCAAGGTATAACAAGATAATATGGCAATAATAACACAAAATTCAAGTACCTGCAAACTGATTTGCCAGTAGAGGGTTCTGTTTCGGGGCGTCATGCCCTGAGTTAACCTGCTTATAGATAAAACTGAACTGTGTAAAAGAAGTATGCAAAGAAGGAAGCTGATATCAAAATAACATTTAAAAGGCAAATGGTGCTTTATCAACCTCTTCCTTCTTCACTTGCGGCACATGTGATAATAGTCCCGGAAGAACAGAAGGCGGTGTACCATTAGTAAATGAATTCTGACGACCTCGCTGTTTATCGGATGGATCAGAATCTGAAAGATTTCCTTCTGATCGATTATTGAAATGCTCTCTATTTGCGTCTTCTACTAACCACCCCCCCTGTGGTTGTAGGAATGGTGCAGGTTGCTGCCAAGGCAATCTAGTCAATAGAGAAGGTTCCGTCGAAGCTAGGTACCTGTTTTCCCTTCTAAATGGATCTCCAAGTAAACTAGGTTCTACAGTGCATTTAAGGGTAAGAAAATAAAAAAAGAACAAAAAAATCTCATCACTAATTTATGTTACTTCATAAAATTGAAGATAAAGTACAATGCCCAATGAAACAAGAACAAAATAGTAACTGGATTTTAATAAACTTAAAAGCATGCTGTTCATCACCATCCGTTCAATTTTCAATATTAAAACATTTCGGAAATAAGACCCATACTTTCTGAAGGCAATACTGCTCTTGAAGATGGTGGAACAATAGCACTTGCAACGGATACTACAGGGAGCTTATTACTATCAGATTTCATCTCTACATTGTTAGTCACAGATTGAGAAACAGCATTTGTAACATTCTTCTCTTCCTGGATAACATAAGAACGCGAAAATATGGATGAAGAAAACATTCCCCTTCGTGTTTTTCAAGTGGAGTAGAAGAACATAAATACGTGAAATACCATCAACTGGTACAAGAAACTACCGTGTAGTTCGATCTCTGAGCAACTTCTGAGCCATTCATCCCCTCGATAATTGGAGCATTAAGATGTCCATTCGGCACAAAACTAGAATCCTGACAACAAATACGTTTGGACATTACTATCATACTTCACAAACAAATTGAGAGACAAAAGTTCAATCTGAATACCTCTGACATCAAGTAGTTGCTCACATCTGGTGGCAAAGGCAAATTCACAACCTCGTCTTCATAGAAAACATCGCATATTTTTCGAAGTAGATTTTCATCGAACTCTCTATTGGTTGAGGAAAAAAAGCACAAGTCATACGGAGCACCCATCTAGAATCTATTTACTAAGTACTTCGATAAATTATGAGAACTTGACTAACTTGAAAAAACCGCCCCTGACATTGCATGCAACATTTCTTGCTACACAAAGGACTGGAACAGCAAATGCAGTCTGATCGACAAAATATGTCCATCAATAGCAGTTCAGGTGATGAGTAATTGAAAACATGTTACAAAGACGAAACAAATACCTCTGCCTGAGGAGAAAAATATGGAGTAAACGCAGGTACTACATGAACACGAGGCTGATCCTTCTCTTCCCACACCTTCAAGCGATCATCAATTACCATTGCCATTTTTGGATGACAATTTCCACCTTGGAATACATTGAGTAAAGATTTTCTTGCCCCTAAGAAAACAACGATATAAATAATTAAACGAAATAAGAGTTTCATTTGATTATTTTACTAGAGAGGGCTAACGATAAATAGAAGAATGAGATCAAATTCACTATGAACAAAAAGCAAAAATCCCATGTTCATGTATCTGATCAAACATTAGAGATAAGTGCTAAACTATTTTAACCTCATTCATACAAATTTAACTATTTAACTATAAAATTATATAAACTAGAAGGAAGAATATTTTTCGAATCTCCGAGATGCTCTAAATAATTGCCATAAGCTAAGGCCCTTAAACTATCAGCAGCAGCTAAAAGGAAGCTCCCTCATAAAAATATGATGCTCACCTGATTTGACACAGACAACGCGGTCCAGTAGTTGCTTTGAACTAATCAAGCGTGCTTCTGGATCAAGCAGCCTCCACATTTCCAGTGCATAATCCCTTTCAGCCATCGTACAAACATAAACTTCAAACCTTTTCCGACCTTTCGCAGTCAAATAACTTTTCAAATCTTCCCAAGCAGGTCGTAACCTGACTAGCACACTAGTATCACGATTCTGCACAGGAGAGCAACCATTGCAGGAGCAATGAGTGATATGAATCAAACAACAAAGAGAATTACATAACTGATCCAATCATTACAATAATTTTACAATGGTGAATCCTAATCTAAACCCGTCTTACCCTGCAGAACCCAGCAACCAATCTATAATAAGAAAAGTAGATACTATAACAGCACCAAACTGAACAGGACAGCTTATGCAAGTAGTCGAAAGATAGCATCGATAGAAGACTTCTCTTGTCTTGATTCCAGAGATGGAATGCAATCCTAAATTAGAATCCTCCAGACTACGTCTCATAAAAAGATGTCCTCCTGAAGATTATAAAGAGCAAACACTCATTGACTATGATAGGCAATTCTTTCATTCTTCTTAGCCTCATTTTTGATAACCTATTTCATAAAATAGAGTGTGGGGTGCTCTCTAAGTCTTCTTTTATTTCCAATCATCAAATTTAAGTTCATTTTTTACTTTAGATAATAATTCCACGTTAAATATATGACAGTATTTCCTCAGTCAATTTAACACTATTTTCAAGTGTCATCATGGTTATCATGTGTTAAGAAGCTCTGCAGAATAAATCAGAAATTGAAATTACTAACTTTCATAGATCAAAAAGTAATGGCAAGAAAATAATTAATTACACAAGTAGCAGCAGTAAACAAGATGGAATCAACAGTATCTCCTAACCTCAGGATTAATGCGAGTAAGAACAACATTTTGTTCTGGCAATCTAACAACCGGCCGAACCACCCGCTCGATACCATCAGATAACTGAGGCACCTCCTCATGTTGAACATTATACACTTTCCCACCATCCACAACACAATCAGTCTCTGCATACTGCTTCAGTAATACCCGATCTTCAACGTATCTCTTCATCTGAGCTACAATTCCAGATTCCCGAATCGGATCAGTCTCACGTTCAATCCAATCCCGCAAAGACTCAATTCTATCCTCAAATGATTTCATTGTGTTGGCAACAATGAGAGTTTCATCAAGATCAAACACAATCGCTAAACATCGAGTATTCAACATCCATAGGCATGAACTATACAAACCACTCGGCACTGAGTAGCACCAAAAACAAGGGAATTTCTTCTGCTTACTAGGCATTGCCACTAAATGAACCTCGTCATTCCCTAGTAGCACCACTGCCGTCTAGAGAAAATTACAATATTGTCAGTTCAATAGACAATAGATTATTCATACAGATGTACATAAATGCACATATGATGCTAAATGGAAGTTATTGCAAGCGCTGTATCTAGTATCTCGGGATACCTTTACATTCATTGGAGCAATAATTCATAATTGGCCATATGCATGAATTGAATAAATGACTAAGATAAGTATCATTCCAATGAATGAACTGCAACAAAGTTAACTAAAACTAATTAAGATTTACAACATCCATTCATACACATAGCACACATCCACAAGATGAACAGAGTATCTATAAAACTATCAGAAATGTAGTTCTTTGTGCGACCTTGAGTTCGTAGAAGCAAGACGCGTGGAGATTGATCAAATGCTCAGGATTCGGATTGGAATTTGTATTAGCATTAGGCTCGAGTTTGCACCGAACTGAAGCAGAGGAAATTGTTTGTAGAACCGAGAGAGGGTGACATCTCTCACTTTTGGGGGAGATTGTATGAATACGAATCTCATTGTTCGGGAACTGGAAATTCCCATCCTTCACAGGAACAGTGTCCAGCTCCCCCAAATACACGTCACCATGGTACACCAACGTTTTAAACCCTAATCGATTCATTAATTGTAATAAAAACTCCCAAATTCACAAAATAAATAACAAATACATTCAAGTTCTGCAAATGTGAAATCAAATAGGAGAATTTATTGCACAGATTTGGAGATTAAAAAAGAAAAGAAAAACTACTCTGTCGCTCTGCATGATTTTCCTCTCAAACTATCTCACTCTATTAATTATCTCTCTCTAGAGGACCTCTCTCTCCCCCTCTTGAGGCAGCTGTTTCGAAAGAGGGTATGATTTTCCTCTCAAACTTTCTCACTCTATTTATTTTCTCTCTCTAGAGGAACTCTCTCTCCCCCTCTTGAGGCAGCTGTTTCGAATGAGGGTGGGCTTACTTTATATAGAAGTGTGGGGGGAGGATCGTTTATGTAAATGGACATTGTTTTATTGGAAATTTCGGATATGCCATTTTGTACGGAGAATATCGGGTAAAAGCGGATAAGTAGGCGGGTCATGCTTTGAGCAAGGCGGATCGAATATGGCGGATCGAATATGTTATCGTACGCGTGGTGCTTAATGTGCTGATATGAATTCATGGCCGTCGACTTGCTTGGCATTTGTTACTTCGGTACGTACGGAATGTAGGTAATAATTCCCTCCCTGCAGTGAGAAGTTGTACTTCTTAATCAGATATTATTAAAGATTTCAGTACGTGAATTCTGATTGGTCGTTTTACCATTATGGTGCCCTTGAGAATTGATTATAGGGCTTGTGTGGGAGGGATTAAAATCAGATTAAAATTGAAAATATAGTCGTTATTGTTGATTTTTATTAGACGAGTGGGACCCAATAACGGCCATATTTTCAATTTTAATTGGATTTTAATTTCTCCCGAACGGGGCCTAAATACAATCATTATAAAGTAAAAATAGAGAGAGAGGGATTAAAATCAGATTAAAATTGAAAATATAGTCGTTATTGTTGATTTTTATTAGACGAGTGGGGCCCAATAACGACCATATTTTCAATTTTAATTGACTTTTAATCCCTCCCGAACGGGGCCATAGCCCCAATGTTTGGTTGGAATTACAATTGAATTTTTAGTAAATTTTTATAAAAGTTGGTGAAATATGTTATTGGAAAGTTATGAATTCTTATAAAATATTTATTTAGAATTAATTATTAATCTTGACTTAAATTAAAATATAAATTTTAATTTCTATAAAAGGGGGCATAATAGTTAAATTAAGATGATTATGATTTTAGAATGAAGTGTGTCCTCTTATGAATAAGTGCTTGTTTGGTAGGGATTTTTGGGGGAAGAATTGATTTTTAAATAGTGATATGATTGGAAATGTGTGGTTGAAAAAGAAAAAAAAATTTTGATGTTATGGAAAATATTATTTTATTGAAAAATGTGTTGTTGAAAATGAGAATTGATTTACTGTAGAATTTGAGAATCAAAAACAAACATATCCTAAATATGACAAATAAAATTGGTAAATAATTAATATATTTTTAATAGAAAGAATCACTAGTCCATGTGACGGATGATCTGTACATCTATTGAAATTCAGAGTAGTAGGACAATCGTTGATTGAGTTCATCGAGACGTTTGCAACATAGGACTTGAAATGACACATTGAATCATAAAAAAGATCCACGGTCCAATTCAAGAAAAGCAGGAACTCCGCATTTACGGTAGGGACACGTAAGTTTTTTCGTATTATATTAGGAACAAAGCTAAATATACACTCAAAATTTAATCTTTTTAACACTCCATTGTTTTCAAAAAAAATTGTTGGCCAAAAAGTGTGTGTTTTTTAAAAAAATTGTCCAATGTGATGTTGCACGTGGCATGATGTAAAAAAAATATACATGTAGCATAATTGTTATATGAGATATTTGGCACACGAGAAATACATTTATAAGATTGATTATAAATATTAGATTATAAGATTTCACTAGCATACTTCGAGAAAGAAAGTGAATGTAAAAGCGTTAATAAACACATATGATTCCCACACGATGCACAATAATGTGAAACGTGACTAGAATTCCCCGAAATTTGTTGTAAGCATTATGATTTTAAGGATGTTAATCGAGAATTTTTCCATTTACATACGTGGTGATCTAGAGCGCATTTGATGGGGTTATAAAATAAGCTCGGAATTGCCATCAAAATTGGCCTAGTCATTATGCAGAAATGATCTAATGAGCACCGGTGTTCATCTTATCCTAAACACCAATGAGTTGGCACATTAATTCATTGGTGGATAAAGATTTTGTGAGTTCCAATCCACCAATGAATTAATGTGCCAACTCATTGGTGCTTAGGATAATATGAGCACCGGTGCTCATTAGATCATTTCTG